GTCACACAGTGGAGTCTCTCTGATTGGTTGACGCTGCGCGTCGAGCTGCAAAAGTTCAGATTTTCTAACTTCAGCGATTTGGACGATTTGGACGATCGTTCAAATCGCGCTGCTCTAATCGCGCTTGAGGCGCCGCAGAACTTCCCGACGTTGCTTGAAGCGCGTCCACCATAGACTTTGTATGTAAACCTGCTGCTCCTGACGCTGAAATCGCGTTCGGTGTGAACGCACCATTAGTGTTACTTGTACCTGCTGCCACTCATTACAGCACAGTTTTAGTATTCAGAAAAATAAATGACCTGATGGTAGATTACTGAAATGGGCACATGCTTCCTGAATCTTGTGATGTCATGTTGAACGTGTTTCTGTTCTGCAGAGACGATCAGTGTGGACCAGACTGTAGCACAAGCCTTTAAGCTCCGTGCATACCAGGATGTGATTGTTAACATCGTTGACCCAAAGGTACGTTCAGCTGCACAGGCTTCAGTTCTTTTTCCATCCTAGTGAACCGTTTGACCCATCACTGCAAATCTAAGGATCAAGTCACAAAGTGTGGAGAAATAGACAGCTAAAAATATAACGACATCTCATCTACGGGTCGTTTTAATTGAAATATAATTTAAAATCATTTTTTGGATACCTTTTTAAGCAGTAGCCACAAAAAACAAGGTTAACAAGCAGAAAAGCCTTTAATTTCTGTCATTTTCAATGTGAGCTAACAAAACCTTTTTTTATTTCTAGCTGGAAAATCTTAATATCCTAATATTGTCTGAGGTTTACACTTTAAAATACCACAAAAATCATCACAAAAAATAGGATTCAAACTAAATATATGTAAGATGTCCTGATTAGGAAGATGAATTAAGCCATATTTGATACTGCACATGATATCAGGATGATCCAGGTTTCAAACTGTAGCTTAAACAGCTGGAAACATGAAAATGTGCTGAGGTTGTCTTGAATCCTCCAGTTTGATGTGATGGGTGATGATAAAATGTAAAAATATTGTGTTTTTCTCTACTTTTCTACATATTCCTTTTTACTAAAGGACGTAACGCTCGACCTTGTGGAGCTAACTTTTAAAGACCAGTACATTGGCAGAGGTGACATGTGGAGGTTAAAGAAGAGTCTGGTGAGTGTGGGAACATTTTGTGAGACTGCTTGTGAAACAGCAAGAAACTGAATTTTCTCTGTTTTAGGTGAGCACGTGTGCTTATGTGACCCAGAAGGTGGAATTTGCTGGAATCAGGTACAGTTGCTTAAAAGCAGGTCCTGTAATTTAACAATAATTGTGAAATAAAAAGGTTGGCTAAAAAGGGCAGAATTGAATATTCAAATTTTAAATATTTATGTAATCGTTTGATTAAATGATAATCAGGGCTGCAACAACAAATCGATAAAATCGATAAAAATCGATTATTAAAAGCGTTGGCAACGAATTTCATTATTGATTCGTTGTGTCGCGCGATTTATGCGTCCCTCGCCGTGTTGTGGAGCCGATTACGTCACCTGCACAGCTTTGTCAATGCTGGCTGACATAAATAAAGTTTAGGAAGAAAGAAAAAACTCTACCTGTAAAGAGCGGCCCTCTTTTACTCTCGAGTGAAAAGCAGAGACTACCAACTTTAAACCAGTGTTTAAATCGTGTTGTTAGGCCAAGTAGATCAAAGATAAGATAAAAAGTGCAATGGAACTAATACTTTTATGTTTAAGCTAGTTATTCATGACATCCTTTAATGACCTAGGTTTTCATGACATGCTGTTCATCTGCAGATAGAATGTCATTAAAGTCAGAAAAAGATCTGCTAACAACAGTCATTCTTAGATATCACTTGTGTTTATCTTTGTGTTTTCCATTGACCTTGTATCAAATCTTGCTAAGATG